TTTAAAGAGAAACATACATATTCAAATATTTGAAATTAATAAAATTCATTTTGTACACATAAAAAATAAATCATATTGGTTGTTAGGTAAATAATTTAATCGTATTGGTTGTTTTAAATAATTTAATCGAATATAGAGCAACACTCGTTAGACTTTTAGAAGAGGTATACATCTTCTTAGAAACACAGTCTTTTTGACACAAAAAAGGGGGGATCCGGGGATCTCTTAATACCCGATTTTCCCAGGGAATGGGAGGATCTGATAATCGCTTAAAACCTCATTTCCTTAGACGTGCATCTCTTTATAAAGAGTCGAAGTAAGTGGTGCTATGTATTCGATTAAATTATTGAAAACAACCAACACGATTAAAAATTCAGCATAAATTTATTTTATATTCCGCTAAATACATTAGTAAAATAAAAGAAAGACAAATGATGAAGAATTGTATGTACCGGGTGATCGTTCCAAACATCCCTTGACCGATGGTTGGGTTGGTCGTACAAGTCGGTTGGATCTAACGGTCCTTGCTCGAGATAATATCGTTGGTTGTATATATCCACGTCGTCCCCAACCTACGAGAAAATAACAACGAGGTTAGTACATTGATTAATTAAAAAGCTTCTAACGACAACAAAAATTAAACCAGAATAATGAGTACGTACCGCTAGAAATTCATCAACATAAACTCCCTCTCCTTGCCACCACTCGCTCATTTTTTTCGGTAAACTCGGACAGAGATTCGGCTTGGCGGGTTTGAGTAAAAAACCAAAGAAATGTTTTCTGATGGCAGATCGGACTTAGCCGCAACCAACAGACCACTAATTCCTAGGCTTTTGGGAGGGGAGGGTTTAGAGAGATAAATTCTAGAGAGAGAAGGAAGAATGGGTTGTGGTGTGAAGAAATGAGAGGGGAAGGGGGTATTTATACTTATCAGACCGCACCCTTCAGGGGCGGTCTGGTAATTTTCCCTTCGCAGAAAACGCTCCCTACCGATGCGGTTTGCGATTCACGAGGCGCTGACCGCTCCTTGCAGGCGCGGTCCTCGATCCATGGCGTGGATCGCTGACCTGGCGTGCGGTCCGCCGTCCGATCGCGCATTCATCCAACGGTCTTGAAGACCGTTCCGCAGGTAAAGCACACCGCACCTTCCTAGTGCAGTTTGCGTGCTGACGTGGCATGGAACGCACCCCTAAGGTGCGGTTTATAAGTAAAACGCAGTTGTGGGGTGCGGTTTACTTATAAAACGCACCTCGAGGGTGCGTTCCATTAAAAACGGTACTATTTATGTAAATTTTTTCAGCTGGGTGCTGGTTTTGTAAAAAAAAAAAATTTAACGTGCTATTATTGGAAAATTTCCAACAAAAAAGGCCCAAAAATAATCTAGAACCTAATAGGGCCAAGACCAAGGACCAAAGCATTGTCCAGCCAACAAACCCTAGCCGCCTCCCTCTAGCTTCCTCCACCGCCACGGCCCAGCGCCCATGTACACCCACCAGTCACCGCCACCATGCGCCAAGAGGGGTGTGATTCAACTGAACTCGGATGGTGGGGTGAGGAAAGACGTCATCCAAGCAAACCACCCCGGGCCAAATCGTTGGCAGCCTCCCGTCGAACAAACACAAGGGAAACGAACAAAGCGACTGGACGGCCAGCAAAAGAACCAGAGGGACAAAATCATCTGCCTTCAAGCTCTCCAGACCGTGTCCTTGCCAACGCCTACATCTCCGAATCACTAAGCTCTACAAAGTGAAATAAGGAGGTAGACAAAGGAAAGAAGAGGTGAAAACAAGCTATATCTATGACAGATCTAGCCTTCATTTTGCATCTAAGGACGGCCACATCTCCAGATCTGAGACAACAGACCAGATATAAAGAAGGGGGAAAAAATCTATACACAGATATAACTGCTACTAATTCCAAACTTCGCTCAAGAAAACCACGCCCTCACGAGAATGTTGACGATGGCGATGATGAACTGGATGTAAAGAGATCTCTTGCCAAAACTGTCTTGCATGTATGTGATAGGGATGGGATACGGTGACAACCCCCTCAGGGGGTTGTGAATCTCACAACCCACTTCCTAGCCATTGGATACGCTTTCTCTCCTATGTCTTTTTTAAAAAAAATTGATGGTTAGGATTAAAAGAAGGGTATTTCTTTCTAGCCATTGTATTAATTAAAACTAATAATATTCAAACAATTCATTCATAGATAAAGAAATAACCAACTAATAAAATTGTTGTTTGCATAAACAACCACAACAAATTTTTATGTTCTGAAAGCAATGCAAAATACATTCGTCGTCTACACTTTTAAGTAAGTCTCTTTCAATGCATCCCACTAAACAATCATTAGAAAACTTACTGTCAATTCGACTTTGAAACTTGATATTAGTTCAAACTAACAATGTTATGTCTATACTTAAAGTTGCAACTAGTAGAATCAAAACTAGTTTTAGAAGCAAATAAACTGACGGATATGACTAACACACTTTTGTCTCCATAATTATTTGAGATAATTCATCAATTTATTTCAATTCATGTAATCTCATAACATTATGATAATACCGAACAAGTTGTTGTCGAATAATTATCATGAATGGAACAATTAAATTAATTATTTCTTTATCAATTATTAAACAAATGATGAGATGTGGTGTAGTGGCAAAATATCCTTATATTACTTGTAGGTGTTGGATACACATATATGTGATGTATTTTTTACCTTACAAATATTGCCCCTGTCCTGGGACAAGGGCAATATAGGCATGTTCTGCCTATTATTGAAAACACATATTGATTGTAGTACTATCACTATCATATCTGTCATATCATGATCTTACCATTATGGTAAGACTAACTGCACATGATACTACTAATACGTATAATAATAATATCATGATATGTTTCCGTTCATCAATCATCAATCCATTCATAGTCATGTCAGCTGAGAAGACAGACTTGGTGGTACCATCGAATAGAATATAGAGGACTTCTTCCTCTTTAGTGGGCGATGATGTCATCAAATTATATTCTAGCTTATACTAATATCATATCATGCCATAATAATTATTTCGTAACGATAATATTATGATATATTTGTTAGTGATATAATATCATCATTTTGTCTAACATAAAACTTCGCACCAACAGAATATCTCTATCATACTAAAATCATATCATTGTCAATGGTATTTTCTTGATATCATAGTGCTACGATGATCAGAAAATTTCCGAACGTTTCAATGACAAAACGTGTGGTTCTTAGCATTATCGAACACAACAGGACTCCGGCACGGCCTGAGCCGCAACCGCGGCACGACAGTATTGAATCATGGTCAAGGTCGCGCCCCGCACACAATGCTCGCATCGATCAATATTGTCGAGGCCGTGGGCGCAACGCCCGTAGGCAAAGAATGGTGCTCCGATAAACAAATCCCAGGTGCAGACAACGTAGTAATTACCCTGCTGGTACGCAATGTACAGCTCTTTGTCGACCAAAGTCACCCTGCAGGGATTCCATATCCTGGGGGAGAACACTTCCTTGCCTCAGGCGTAGTTGCAGAAGTCGGTGTCGCCGGTGGGGGTTGCATACCACTCGATTGTTTCGATCACGGAAGCTTAAATTCTTCTTCTTCTTGTGCCAAGTTGTTATACTAACAACGAGATTCATTAAGGGTAAAAGGATAAACTAACACAAAATAAAAAATTAAAATTAAAAAAAAAAATTCAATCCCCTTCCTTCCCCTCTTCGTCTCTCGATCTCTTCTCCTCTGATATCCCCATTGGCGCTTCTCTATCGTACTCTCTCATTCACCACCGACAAGATTGCAGTCGGCACTTCTCTTCCGTACTCTCTCCTTCGCCATCGGCAAGATCGCCGCTATTGAGAGATTTTGGTGATAGAGCAAGATTTGTACTCTCAAATCAAAGCCGCGATGTCTCTTGCGATGGCAATTGTGGCTGCAAAATCTGAAATCTCTGATCGAAGCAGCGATGTCTCGTCAATTTAGGCCGTGAATTCCATCGTCCATTCAAGTTGTGGTGAGACCACAACCGCCATGTACCTTCGCTTGCATGCTCTGAAGCTACAAACAAAAGCCACGAGGGGGTGAGGCAGCGTGACAGTCACAGGTTTCACGATCGTTCTCTCTTTTGCAGGTCCAGGTTTCCCAGGTTGGATGACGCTGGCGATTCTGTTGGAAAGTGTATCAGGCAGGCGAGATTCGGCAGGAAATCAGTTTCTCTCAAGCGTCAGTCGTCGGGCAATTTGATTTGGTACAAATTACAGGTCGAAGATTCTGAAAGAAGATGGTTTGTTCTTTTGAACGAAGCGCACATCTCCTGGCTCCAAGGAGTCCTTCAAACAGCAGCCATGAAACACTGGGCCTTTCCTCCTTCTTGCACCAAGAGATTCTTGGGCCGCGTTATTCATGTCGAGAAGCTTTGCAATCGACAGGGAGTTTTTCTTCACATCTTTGAGCAGGTGACGGCCAGAGGGTCTTTCAAAGTGCTGATTCCCTCCTCTGGCCCCAAAGTTGGCTGGGCGGGTTTGATTAATCTGCTGCAATCGTTCTACAACTCCGAGCTTCAGAAACGCTTCTGCTCCTCTGTGGATCCTTCTTCGTCTCATCTTACCGCGACGTTTCAGCTTCCTCCGGCTCCAAGACTTCCATCGACAACCATTCCAGGAGTTACTTACGCGGAAGCGGTGAAAGGTGGGGGTTTCTATGGTGCTGGAAACTGCAAAATCATGGGTAGCGACTCTGATAGATTCATCGATATTGGTATGAAAGGTGTCTCGGAGAGAAAAGAGCTGCTTGGCAGGAGCTTGGTTATTAATTTTTGTTCTCGTGGGTCGGCTTTTATAAATTCTGACGTACCAGAGCTTGGGCTATTGATGATAACTTTGGTTTCCATGAGTCTGCTAATGGCAATTGGCTGTTAGTTTGTTCGAGTGTTATGGAAGCCATTCGGATTAGGAAGCTTGATAAGATGAATTTAAGAGATTTCACTGTCAAGATCTTCCCATGGTCGGAGAATAGTCTGGTTCAGAATTATGATGATGTTTAGATTCTTGTTTTTGGAATTCCCCTGACTCTCAAAAGCATTGATCTGGTGGTGACCATTGGGAACTTTTGTGGTACATTTGTGGAGATATACTGGAACTCCTGGAGTCTTGATCTCGTTAGAATCAGAATCAAGAAGACCAGGAAGGTCCCTGAATCTATCCCTCTTCAGTTTGGATCGGATAGGTTCACAGCCTCGATCCTTGTTTCCCCGGCGACGGCCAGTGACGACTATTTTCATCATCAGAAAGTTTGCAATTTTCAAAAGGAGAAGGTGAACCGTCATCCCTTGACTAGTAGAGTGCGCAACTATCCATGCATTAACGTGCAGAATGAAGATTCGAGAGCTTGGAAAAAACGGGGCGCTGTAGCGGCCAACATTTCTTCTCTTTCGGTTAAGAGGTCGATCTGAAAAGCATGTCCAATCTGGTTGGGCAAAAACCCTCCTTCTTTGGACCTAAGCCTTTGCTCCCCGACCCTTCCATCAACCCGGCCTCCCTGTGTTCTCGAGAGAAGCCCTTGCTCACCTTTGAATCTTTTCGAGCTTTTAGCCAGTTGGTGCCTTTCCCCTGAACCTCCCCTCCCCTTTCGATTCTCCTTGAATATCCTAAGCAACTATCAGATCTTGATCAGCCTATCTTGCTCAGATTTCTCCATATTTTATGTTCCCATGTCCCAACCCTTGTCCTCCAATTTCTTCCCGTCCCGTTCCCCCAAGCCTATTATTTGCGACCTTGAAGACCTTTCGCCAACCAATTCCACCCAAACCCCCCATCCTCCCCTCCCAATCTGATGCTCCCTTCCCCGGATTGGCCGCCTTCTTCTTCCCCTTCCTCCCTCTTATCCTTGGTTCCTGAGACCCAAACCCTGCTATCCCTACCAGCGACCCAAACCCTTCCATCCCGCTTCACTTCAGACTACCCCAATCTTCCTTCACCCTCTTGTACTACCGTTGTGGAGTAAAGGCTATGGGACCTCGATGAATACCCTTTCGACTCTTCTTCTTGGTCAGTTGCTCTGTGGATTTGAGTAATTTATTCGGTTTGGAACATGAGGAAGGTCAGGGCAGATTAGAAGAGATTATCACTACCGCCGCGGTCTCAATGCACAAGAAGAAAATCAAAAGTGCTCGTTCAAAGCTCGAGATGGAAAGAAAGCGACTGGGCCCTGTGTCTCCCTCCCCAACAGGACCAATAGGATGTAAAAAGGTTGCTGGAGTGGCTTCTTCCCGTCCTTTTCCCAAACGAACACTTCTGTTTACATCTGGAACGTTAGAGGCATTTGCGATTCGGACAAGAGAAGCCGAATTAAACATTTAATCGGTAGGCCTCATATTATTGCTCTTGTGGAAACCAAATGGGCTTCTTGCTCTGATTCTCTTGTGGGTAGTATTAGTGGCAGAAGGGACATGGATTGGGTTGCTAAAGATTCTGTGGGAAGCTCAGGTGGGATTCTTATTTGTTGGGATAAAAAACGATTTCAGAAATTGTCATATAGCAGTGGGAATTTCTTTCTCGTGGTTGAATTCCTCGATTTACTATCTTCGAAATCCTGGAGGTTCATTACGATTTATGGTCCCCAAGACAGGAAGGATAAGCTGGCTTTTCTGAATGACCTTCTCATCTACTGCCAGAGTCATCAATCTCCAATCTGTATTGCCGGCGATTTTAACTTAGTTAGATCTCATGATGATTATCTTGGGGGAAGAAGAAGCTTGGACTTTTTGAACTCTTTCAACAGCTTTGATAGACCGTTAATTACACATGTTTTTACCCTTGTTCTTACACCTTTTGAGGTGTTGATTCTCGTTTTTTAGGCCGATTTCACGCTAGGTTGTGCTTGTTTGTGATATTTCAGGTCCTAGTACGTGAATGGAGGCTTGGGAGCGAGTTTGGGGTCTATTGGACGAAGATCGAACGCGTGGCGAGGTGCTAAGGAAGCCGCACGGGCATTCCTAGACATCACACGGCCGTGCAACTCACATTTGTGGCCGTGTGATTTTCACCGAGAGCATACACGGGCAGGATGGAAATCCCACACGGCCGTGCGACCCTGGCTGTGTGGGAAGCCTGAATTTCGACTTAATGATAGGCCTCGTTTTGACTCACTCGGGCAACTGGGTGAGCCACACGGCCGTGTGGCCAGCCCGTGTGAGTCGGGAAATCTTGGTTTTTCAGCCGATTTCGAGCCACAAGTGAGGAGATCGGACTTTTTGAGCAAAAACAGAGCCCTAGAGAGAGAAAGGACGAAGAACACATCCTAGAAGCTATCTTGGAGCTGGGTTTCATCAAATCGAGCTTGGAGATCGTCACAGGAGTGGAAATCATCATCCCAGAGCAGATTCTTCCCATTGTAATGAGTATGACTGCTTTGTACCTTGTTTTCCTCTCTCTCTCTATGGAGTAGAACCTCTCTCTCACTTGGGGATGAAGAACCCTAGTTCTATGTGTTAGGGATTGATTGTAATGACTTGGGATGATATTACTGTTTGATTTTAATCGAATGATGCATGTTTATTGAGTCAATTGAAGTCTGATCAACTTTTCCTGATTCTTGCTGCAATCTGAGATAGATAGAATCTGATTAGGTTGCTAGAGTCTCATCATTCGGTAGTAGGAGATTGGCTATACGAGAGTTAGCCAGTTTACTACTTTGTACTGGAATCCAATTCCAGTAGTGGAGTTATGTTCTTACTGCTTCAGCTTTCTATCCCGGTGAAGACTAGTCGTCTGCCGGGTAGTTAGACTGAGAGGGCTTGGTCAGCTTAAGAGATTCCAAGCTACTGTCGGATCTTCCGCAGTCTAATCAACAGTAAATCAACCCAGGGAAATACAATTGAAACCTAACTAAGGAGCTAGGGGGACTCATTCCCGAGTGACTCTTACCTGCTTGAGAAAACCGTATCAATTCCTGCTTTCTTTCTGCTTTTGCTTTTACACAACAAACACTTAACTTAGTTGGCTAGATAATAGAGAATCACTGAGTAAGCAGTAGATCTAGACCCCGGGTTGATAATATAACTTGTCACTTTACTACATTCCCGGACTACGATTATACTTGGTCGCAGTTTGGTGTTGTGTTTTAGAGCACCAAGTTTTTGGCGCCGTTGCCGGGGAGCCCTCTAGGTTATTGGGGAAACGTGAGAATTTGTTACTCTAGCTTTTTATTTACTGCATTTTATCTCTTCCGCCTGTGTGCCTTCACGGGTTGCTTCTGCTGATTGTGTGCAGGTAGTGCATGACCCGTAGCCAGTCGGGAGATCTACTACCATTAGACCAGGAGCTTGAACAAACCTGCAGAAACTTCAAGCGGGCTCTAAAGGCGCGACTGGCTGCGGAGGAGGCGCTAGCACAGCTACAGATCCCTGAAGAAGAGGAGATGGCTGATCCACAGGACCATGATGTGGTCAATCCCGAGGAGCAGACCATGGGACATTACTGGACCGCCAGGGATGCAGACATGAGGTCACCCATTCAACACCCTCATGTCCCAGCCAATAATTTTGAGGTGAGTACCTCAGTAATCACCATGCTGCGCGGTTCAGTGATGTTCCGTGGCAAAGAGGGGGAGTGCCCCCGATCACATCTCAGGCGATTCCACGAGCTCATTGATGGAATCAAGATCAATGGGGTCCCCGCAGATGCCATCCAGTTGAGGTACTTCCCGTTCACCCTGGAGGGGCAGGCCAAGGAGTGGCTAAACACTCGACCTCCGGGCTCCATCACCACGTTCGCCAACCTGGCGGACAAGTTTCTCACCCGCTACAACCCTCCATCCAAGACGGCGGACCTGTAGAAGCAAATTACCCATTTTGCTCAGGATGAGGATGAGACCATCAGGGATGCTTGGGAGAGATACACCAGTCTATTCCTCAAGTGTCCCAACCATGGTTTTACTGATGCTTTCAAGGTGGGAACCTTCTATCATGCTCTCTTCCCGGAGGACAAGCAGCTGATTGACTCGGTCTGTGGCGAGAATATGCTCACCAAAACGCCGCCATAGCTGAATCAACTTTTTGAAGAGATGGCAGAGCAGGGATATGATTGGGGCACTTCCAGGAGATCGAGAAGGGCACCAGGGCGGGGTGTGCATGCTGTTGCCACCCAGTCATCTGATTTGGTGCAGGTGGTATCAAAGCTGGTTTCAGCTATAGATCGCTCTGGATTGATTACAGGTACAGGACAGCCGCAGGCGATGCACTGCCAGTGGTGTGAGAGCTCCCATCACACCGTGGAGGACTGTCAGGCGATGAGGGAGTCATCTACTCCCTAGGAGCAGGTGGACTTCATCAGCAATGCCAGGCGCTTCGACCCCTACAGCAACACTTACAACAAGGGGTGGCGCCAGCATCCCAACTTCAGCTGGGGTGGGGCAAATTCCAGACCACCAGTCCCCTAGGGACCACCTGGCTTCCAGAGGCCTCCTTACCAGCCCAGACAAGGGAAATTTCAGCAGCCACAACAGCCACTTTACCCGCCCAGACAGGGGCTAGCTCCACCTCAGTCACAGGTGCGACCATTTCATCAGACAGGGGCAGCACCTGCAGCCCCAGCTCAGAGTGACCCGATGGCGGAACTGCGAGATCTGGTGGGTTCTCTGGCCACCTCCAGTGCAAAGAAGTTCAACAACATCGAGTAGTTCATGGAGAAATCTTCAGGCAAATTCATGGAGCTAAAAGCTGGTCAGAGAAACACGCAGGCTGTCTTGCAGGATATCCAAACCCAGCTGGGGAGCGTGGCTCAAGCAGTGGCACAAAGGGCTCCTGGTACTCTACCCGGTCAGACCATCCCTCATCCACGGAACTTGAATGAGCACTGCAATGCCATCATAACCAGGAGTGGCAAGATAACTGTTGATCCACCTGCTCGGGCACAAGAGAGAGAGGCCCATGCCTTGGCATCTCCAGCGGCTGAAGAAGAAACAGAGAAGGAGGTTGAGGTGCCTGCACCAAAACCGCAACCAGTAGTGAAGGAGTATATCCCTCAACTCCCCTTCCCTACTCGGTTGCACAAAGACAGGCTGGATGCAGAGTTCGGGAACTTCATGTCCATGCTTAGGAAGCTGAATGTCCAAGTACCTTTCTTGGAGGCATTATCCCAAATGCCTAAGTATGCAAAGTTCCTGAAGGACCTTCTCTCAAAGAAACAGAAGCTGAGCGAGCTGGCCACTGTGGAGCTCAGCGAGGAGTGCTCGGCCATTCTGCAGAACAAGCTTCCGCAGAAATAGAAGGACCCAGGTAATATCAATGTTATGCCGTATAAACTGTTTAAGAGTCCTTGGCAGATT